ACCTCACAAGATAACTTGGATACGGAGGCCTTATTGACGTCTGAGCTTACACGCGAAGAGCGAATTGCAGCTCTAGCAAGGGACATCAGTCTAATTGCCGACACTTATCGAGGAGGCAAACACGTTCTTTCTTTCCCAAGTCTTAAGGAACACAGGCTCAAGGATTCACTGGAAGTGCTAAAAGGGTTGGCACTCGAAGGGCCAGATTTCAGTCCAAAACCGCCAACACACGAGGCAGGCACAAACACATCTACCCTCGTCTGTTGCGGCTTAGCGCACTTCCAACCTAACGCAGGACCAAGTGATTCAGCAGCACCAAGCCCTTTCACTGACGTAGAAACAGCTGTAATTCCCCAGGTTCCCATCCCAAGATCTTTTGCGGAGGCAGCAAAGCTGATTCAGAAGCCCAGCCAGTCTAGAAAACCCAGAACCCATACTCTGCTGATCTATCCGGCCCAAGACGCCAAAGGAACAGGCAAAGATCTAAAAGCCACCTTGAATGAAAAATTCCCCCTTGCTACCTTAGGAGTTAGAGTTAATGCAATAAGGAAAATCCAAAAAGGAGGACTGGCAGTAGATTGCCCCACAAAAGAAGACCTCTCTAAACTAGCCAATACATTGGGCAGTGAAGAAGGTCAAAAACTTGTACAGACGAAACTCCCGGAAAAAAGGCATCCTAGGGTTGCAATTCACGCTGTACCGCCAGAAGTACAGAGGGAGGAGGTCGAAAGGACTCTAGCTTCAGAATTTGCTCTTACAAAGTCCACAGCAAAGGTTCTGTACAGACTAAAAGAAGGACGAAATGGAACAAAGTGGATTATCCAATGCGAACCTGCGGCATACGACAAGCTTACGCAACTCAAAAAGATCAGCTTCGGATGGAGAGTCTACAGAATCTCAGAATATTTTAATACGCGACGGTGCTATAGATGTCAGGCATTCGGACACCTACAAAGTGAATGTAAATTCCAGCAACATTGCGCCTTCTGCTCAGGAAGTCACAGCGTTAAGGAATGCAGAGCCAGCAGACCAACCTGCATCAACTGTGCCGATTTTAATTTCAGAACACGTGGTAAAATCAATACCGCGCATGCAGCATACACAGCCTCATGCCCGACATACGCACGATATATTGAACGGCAACAACGCAGCACACAGCGTACTAACAGCCAACTAATAGCAACAAGTAATAATCAACCGATACCCACAGAATCAAATAACCCTACGACAGCACAGATAATCCGCTGCACACAAATAAACCTGCAAAGAGCAGAAGTTGCTACAGCACAGGCGATACAACATGCAACGGAGCATTCTGTAGACTTCCTGATGATCCAGGAGCCGTACTGCCAGGAAGGACGCATTGCAGGTTTCCCTATAGCATGGCAGGTCTTCCAGTCAAAAGCAAGGAACCAAGATCAAGCACCAAGAGCGGGTCTAATATGTTGTAACCCAGCCTGGAATCCGCTGCTAATTAAACAGGACAGAGACTTTGTTGCCGTTTTAATTGTGCTCAAAAATGCACAACTGATTCTTATATCTGCGTACTCCTCCCCAACAGATTCCATCGACAATTTCGTAGCAAACGCAACGTACGTCCGATCTAAATGCCATTCAACGCCACAAGTCTATGGGGGTGATCTTAATGCGCATCATGTAAACTGGGGATACCAAGATATCATCATCACTCCCAAGGGACAAGCGCTAGAGGACTACTTAACAGCAAACGACCTACATTTGGTCAATACCAGCGGCGCACCCCCTACCTTTGATAATACGTACTGCAAAGGTTGGCCAGATGTCACCCTGGCAACAGGAACGGCTCTATCGCAAGTACAGGACTGGAAAGTTAGCGACGACGAACTAAGCTGCTCGGATCACCGTTACATAACCTTCACAATCAACTGTGACACCAACATCTCTGTATTTTAAAGCGCTTTAAGTTACCAAAAGCCAAAATCCGTCCTCTGACAGCAGCCTTCTCTACTTTATTAACAGCAGAACAGGAGACACTAGAAGCCTACAACGGCAAAGACGAGATGGAAGAATTTACAGAACATCTTCTGGATAATATTAAGACCATCTGCTCAAATTTGCTTCCAACGCGAGCTGCCAAGAAACGGCACAGCATTTCATGGTGGAGTAAAGAACTCAGGCAACAGCGTCAGAAATGTCGTGCTCTAAGGCGCAGAATAAGAACAGCAACCGACGAGGACACAAAAATGCACTACCTTTCAATTTTCCGTAAGGAAAGGGCATCATACAAAAAGAACATCCTCGCAGCAAAGATAACAAGTTGGAGAACTTTTTGCACGCAGAATAACAATCCATACAGCGTCCTCCATAAATTGTCGACTAATAAAATCTACCAGCCATCACAGATCTTCGCCCACCCCTCTCTTACAACAGACATCGCAGGAGCCACAGCTGCCACCTACTTAGACGCACTGTTCCCGAATGACGATCCAACACAGGACACAACAGAGCAAAGGGAGATACGTGCAGACTCAACACCTCCAGCAACTCCAGCCGACGAGCCCTTCAGTGACTCAGAAATCAGACAGATCTACCGCCATCTCCCTCTCAAAAAGGCACCGGGACCCGATGGCATCGATTATAACATCCTTAGAATAGCCTACAAGGCAAGACCATCCTTCTTTACTAAATTCTTCAATCAGCTCTTGCACCATCGAGTTTTCCCTCGCGTCTTTAAAGAGGGACAAGTCGTCCTCTTCTTAAAAAAGAATAAAGATGCAGAAAATCCGCGCTCCTTCAGGCCAATATGCCTTCTATCCTCCCTAGGGAAGATATATGAGAAGTTAATAGTCAATAGACTCAGATTTCACCTTCATCGCAGCCGCTATCTCAGTAATAGACAATTCGGCTTTAGAGTTGGACAATCCACCACTCATGCTCTGCACGCTATCTTGGAGGAAATACAAAGGAATAGATCAGGCAACCTGCACACCGCCTTCATCTCGCTGGACCTCCAGAGTGCCTTTGATACACTCTGGTGGCCAGCAATCAAGCAGGCACTCAGGAAAGCGCAATGCCCCCATCAATCTCTACAGCGTCCTCTGCCACTACCTGCAGGACAGAAGTCTACTAATAACTCATAACAACGGAGTTACTACTAAACACCAAGAAAGGGGCTGTCCGCAAGGCTCGTGTGCGGGACCGATTCTTTGGACGATTACTTTCAACGCCATCCTGGAGGCCACATGGCCAAGACATACGTCCATCGTCGCCTACGCTGACGATGCCGCACTGTTAGTACAAGGAAGAACCCGCGACGAGCTTGAGAAGAATGGCACCGAGTCTTGTGCACTCTTTGCAGAACTCTGCGGCAAACTTAAACTTCAACTATCTGCTGAAAAGTCCTGTGCCCTGATCATACCGAAGCAAAGAGCCAACCTGAGACGCAAACCATGCATCAAATTAATGCAGAGGAACATTAAAATCAATAACACCTTGAAAGTACCTTGGCCTTCTGTGGGACAACAAATTAACATGGATCCCCACCTCCAAAGTATTAAACAGCGAACTTCCGAAATAGCAAGAAAAGCCCGCCTATTTCAGGGGCGAAACTGGGGTCAAAATCCCCACATACAGAAAATTCTTTATCTCACAGTCTCAGAGAAAATAGCCCTTTACGCTTCAGCAATATGGGCCAATCCGATGAGTGGTAGAAAAGTCAAACAGCTGGGAATTATACAACGACCTTACGCCTTACTCTTGTGTAAGGCCTACAGAACAACGGCCACTAGTGCAGCAGTGGTATTATCTGGTCTAATGCCACTGCACATACGCGCAGAAACTGAAGCTGCTTACGCTACTGTTATCCATTTAAAGAAGGAAGCTACCTTCTGCGGAAACACTTATAGTCCAGTTCAGTATGAGCATCCAAAGAATACCCTGGAGACGCACCCTGCGCACAAGGGAAGAAATATAAGGATTCACGTCAGCAGAAGTGGCGAGCAAATTACAATACAGGATCCACGGTACCCAATGCAGTACTATACAGATGGATCCAAGCTCGACGAGGGTACAGGTAGTGCCTTCGTCCTGTACCACGGAGGATGCAAGGAAATCGAGTGGAAGGGGCATCTTCAACCAATAAACAGTACATTCCAGGCTGAAGTCATAGCCATTACCACTGCGATTCAGCATGCAATTGACAGCGGGATCACCGATGCAATGCTGTTTACAGATAGCATGTCAACGCTATTCGCCCTAGTCAACCATAACCACACCTCCCCATTGGTAGCGGACCTCCAGAATATTCTACAATCACATCCTCAACTAACTTGTAAATTTAATATGGACTAAGGCACACGTTAACAACGAGGGTAATGAGACAGCTGACCAACTGGCAAAGGAGGCAGCAAGCAACATAGCTGCACAGATGGTAACTATTCCAGCGCCACCCTCGTATCTCAAGAGAACTCTTAAGGAAAAGGGTCTGCAGAAGTGGCAAGCTGAATGGGAGACCTGTGATACGGGTCGCAGAACCAATTTATTTCTGCCTAGAGTGAAAATGGAGCGCCAATACTCATACCTCCCATCACTAATTACATCTCGGGGCACGGGCCCTTTCCCACCTATTTTGAGCGATTTGGTATCTCTCTCATACAGGCTTGTGCGTCTGTGGGTCGCTCGGAACTCCAGACCATTACATCTTTGAATGCCCGCTCACGGAGGATAATCACCTCCACTTGCCAGCAGGACAACCAAATAGCCTTCAAACGATTCATCGTTAATAACAAAGGCACAGTGAATACCATCTGCAGAATAATCAGCCAGATAACCGCCCTGGGGCAAGACCTATGCCAACCCCACTAATTCAGGGTCTTAAGTGAATGTAAGTACTCCTCTGCATCTAAGGAAATACAGTATCTTCCTTCTGCTAAGCGCATGTACCTTCTTTATTAATAGTATTTATGTGTCATGTCATGTATGTGTTATGTTAATATTTTTTTTCTTTTTCTTTCTTTTTTTTTTTTTTTTTTTTTTTCTTAAATGTGTAACCAGTATGTTATGTAACGTATACCTTGCAAACCTAAATGTGTAATACAATATAAATAGCCAATGTATCTCTCATCTGCCCCTGTATGGCAATGTAATAAATCTTTTAAGATCTCAATAAACCTCCGGTAGATAGGGGAGGGCGCGGGACATATGCCTGTTTACCTCTGTTAAACACCAGGCGTCCCCGTCCTCCGTCACCTGTCACCTGTCACCTGTGTTTATGAGCATGTCAGTGTAGTTGGTTATTTGTGTTTTTTGGTATTTGAATTAATAAATTACAGATGTCATACATTATTCAAGCATTTTATACACAGTCATATTATTGAAAATATTTTACCCTATTTCAGATTGATGAAATTATTGCAGATCATTTTATTTTGATTATAAAGAAATCTCCTATTAATTTCATATTTTTTTTAACAGTACTGTTTTCCAGGCAGATATAAAGCTTTCCATGTCATAGCAGAAAGCAAATTGTTCCAAATAGCATGGGCCATTGTCTATCCATTGCTGACTTCAAAACTCAAGAAACGCGTAAGTAAAGACTTTTAAATTTAAATAAGATTTTATAAGTTAGAGCGTTCTTAACCGTCGACTGTTAAGGTACCACCAAACATGTGCCAATCATTTTAGCGGAACGTTTAAAGATCAAATCATATTTTATTTATTTAACTGATCAAGTTACAAATATAGCATATAAAAAACTTTATGCCATTCATAGAAGGCCGATCCTAAATACTTTTCAACCCCCCCCAAAGGCGAAAAATAACAGGTGTAGCGTTGTAACCATGGCTAGCTGTAAAGTTGTTAAACAAAACTGGTAAAAATTAACCCAGACAAACTTTAACATTTAACAAAAGGAATTTAATTAAACACAAACACTACATTAATAAAGTTATATGACAAAACTAAAAGGAAGTAACACAAAAAAATATTACTCAAATGAAAATAAAAGTACATGTTCAAGTCCTTGCCGAAACCGAACTAACTAGTAACGAAATCGAATCGAGTCAATGGCTAGGCGGCATTAGTAGCCACCGCTACTTTAGCCGTCTCTGTTGGTAAATTGTTCCTAAGGCGTTGGTATTTAAGTTTTTAATTAAGGCGATTACGCCGCGCCACTAGGCGAAACTTGTCAATTTTTTTGTGGAAATGCCGTTCGGGCTGGAGTATGCGGAGGGATGATTGGCAGGAGCCTGTCACGTGGGTGGTCACCACCCAAGTCAGAGTGCGAGCACGCGTGCAATGAGAAATATTGGAAATATTAATTATCAAGTTTTGAAACAGGTTATCTAGATTGGAATAATTAAACTAATATCGCGATTTAAATGAAGACAAATGGCACAACTAAGTGCAACAGATTAGCTAAACAAAATATTCAAATTCATCCTTTCTGTAAAACACAGATTGGACAGTGGTAGTCACGTGGGGGTCACCCTCCCGTGAACTGTCCACAGCCAATGCATCTTGAAATAGTAGATATCACAATTCAGTGAAGTCTTGGTCTGAGAAATTAAAAAACTAAAGTTCTTGTACAACCTGAGGCACATGAGTTACTGAAACTATACACTATGTACATATAGGACGGCGGATTTGAGCGAAGTGGCAAATGGTGAAAAACATTTTACACTAGCAATAAATAATCAGAGCTTTGAAGATCCAGGTACACGGATCATGTCCATAAGTCCACAATATACAAAGTCTCTGATATAACAATAAGAAGATTGAAAGTGATAAATAAAATATGACCAAATATAAGATTAGTGCTTTGAAGATCCCAGGTATACACGGATCATGTCCATAAATCTATAAAGTTTCAAAGACACTGGTAAAAATGACACTAATGAAGATTAAAATAAAGATAATAGTACTATGTACAATATATACACATTTCACCATTTGCTGTTATGGAAGATGCCTCTTGGGCGCTTTGCTGCATTTTCTATTGTAGGGTCATAATTTATCAGATCACGGATTATGTTCGTATTGAGAAAGTTCTATTTTAGCATAGAAGTTGTGGCTCGTGGTGAGAATTTGATCATCTATGGGTCTTATTTTTAGTTCTTTATGTATCTGCAGGTTACGTACGAACCATGGGGAGTCAACAATTTGCTGAGTATTTTGTTCTGAAAGACCTGTAGTTTGTCTATAAGTCTTGTACACAGTGGCCCAGATAGGCACTGCATAAAGTAGGGTGGGTCTTATTAAGCTGGTATAGATCTTCTTCTGAGACTGATATTTAATTTAGCATTTCTTCTTATTAAAGGGTAAAGAGACATTTTAGCAGCGGTGGCTTTGCGCAAGGCATACTCCGTGTGTTTTCTTTGAATAACAGCTGTGTGCTGTGAGTCGAAGACCACTCCTAGATACTTGGTACTTGAAACAATTGCTAGGGCTTGATCATTAATTTTTATATTTACATTCACAGGAGTGAACTTCCGATGACGTCTGAAAAGGAGAATTTGGCTCTTTGACGGATTTACTTTTAATTTCCATGAATTCATAATAGTGTGCTATGATATTTACTGCGCTTTCAAGTTTATCTACAGCGAGCTGAGGTTTTAGCGACTTGGTTAAAATTGCTGTTTCGTCGTCGGCATATTTCACTACTTTTGCATTCAAAGGAACCGGCATATCATTCGTGTAGATATTAAACAGAAGCGGTCCCAGAACGCTTCCTTGAGCCACTCCGCTTTTAATTCTTTTTCTTGAAGAGAGAGAGTCATTAATTTTTACCTGAAAGGTCCTGTTTTTAAGATAGCTTTCATGAGCTTAATAAAAACTGATGGGCAGATGAACAAGGTGCAGCTTGTAGAGGAGACCCTCATGCCACACCTTGTCAAATGCTTTTCTAGGTCTAGAAAGCAGCTGGCGATTGTGTTCTTTTTTGCGAAGGAGTCTGCAATAATTCTGTAACGTTCAGTAGTTGGTGCACGGTACTATGACCGGCTCTAAAACCAAACTGCTCTTTACATATAATTTTCTTATCCTCTAGATGTTGAGTTAATCTCTTTTTGGAGCACACGCTCAAATACCTTTCCCAAACTGGGGAGAAGGCTGATCGGACGGTAGTAAGTGTTTGGCTTCCCCGGTAAAAGTTAAGTCCTTTGGGTTTTTCCCCGGCTTGACAAACGTAATTATCTGTGCGTGTATCGTGCGCGTTCCACTGTTGCGGGAAGTAATTGAGCCTCATACAAGCATTGACTATGTTTGTAATGAGGACTATGTAGGTTCTTGGGAGAGCTTTGAGAACCGTATTGGTGATGCTATCGTAGTCCGGGAGCTTTCCTGGACTTTAAGTTGCTAATTATATTACTTATTTCTGCTGGAGAAGTTGGGTTGAAGTGATTATTACAATTTCTGTCAGCTAGGTGGTTAATGAAATTATCGACTTCTTCATCTGTCTCATCATTATTAGAGGCATGATTGGTGAAAGTCTTTTCTAGGTGCTGCGCAAGGGCTTCAGCCATGTCATGTTCAGAATAAGCAATTCCTCTACTGGTGTGGAGAGGGCCAATATTTCTGTTATTAGTATTCCTTAAGGAATTTCCAATACGCCAGACTGTATTCGGAGAGAAATCCACGGAGTCTAAGAAATCGTCCCAACAATTTGATCTGTACTTTAGGAGGAGGGTCTTGATGTTCCTAATTTTTCTGTTCAGGTATCTTTTAACAGTGGGATCGCCTGTTCTTCGCCAGATTTTAGCTGTGTGGTTTTTGTCTTTTATTTTCTCAATGATTTGGTCGGAGAGCTTGTCTTTCTTATAATCTTTGAATTTGGTGGAATCATTTGGAGTAGTTCGGGCGTAGGTGTTTTTGAATAGCGCCCGATAAGGTGGCGCTGCAGTGCATGGGGCTGTTTGCTAGCGTTCGTTACACAGATAATTTAAATCTTTTACAGAAATTAAACTGTCTGGTTGAGAATTAATCTATGCTACATGGAACTAATCCAATATTTACTTGAATATATACTATAATTTAATCCGATATTAACTTGAATCCAAATCTTTAAAGGCCCTCGAATCTTTCGTCCTTCATATAAAAATAATATTGCAATAAGAATAATAGGTACTATTAGGTTTCGAGGGTCGTAAGTGACTTGATCCCTTGGCTCCTGGACATGAGCAGCTCTGATTGGGTGGCGGTCTCTACGAGTTGCTTGCTGGGCTGCCTCGAATTTCATGGCGTACACTAGAGCCTTTTTTAAATCTTTTACATCCGCCATTCGTAGTGCTTTCTGTATTTCAGTATCTCGGATGCCGTCGATAAAGTATTGCAGGACAGGATTTCCCTTGTTTCGTCGGCATTCCGAAAAGGCGATTTCAACATCCGTGGCGAGCTCCTGAAGTGTTTCGGTAGGCTTCGTTGACGAGAATAATTGGAGCCTAGTCTTTTAAACACTTCTCCCCAAAGCGCAGGACAGAGCTTCGAAATCTAACCTTTTGTTATAGGGAAGATTCTGAAGGATATCCGCTGCGTCTGCTCTTAAAGAAGCGGCGAGATAACAGGCCTTAGCTTGGTAATCCCATCCATTCGCATCCGCCACGATAGAAAATTGTGTCTTATACACCTGCCAGGAGGTCTTCCCATCATATGTCGATAGCTTCAGAGAGGGATGAGCAAACATTGGTAAAAATTGAAAACCATCCGAATTGCTCCTGCCGTCGCTACGAATTTCTTAAAGTATCAACTTCTTTGCACGGCTGAAACCCTATCATCATTTGTTGCTCGACGGCAAACTCTCTCTTTATATGCTCTTTACAGAAGAAACTCTTTTTCTATTTCTCTTTACGGAAAACCTTTCTCAATTTTGCCCAACTTATTTTCAACTACATCTATTCTGCCTTCCATAGCATCGAATTTGGTTCTATTATGCAGGCAATTCTCTTTTCATTTGGTATTGGCTTTCTTCTTCTTTACTTGTATGGCTTTTATTCGTCTTTCAGCTGAATGGCTTTATCTCTTCCTTAACGGATTCTTGTCCCGCTTCATTTCTTCTGTCCCGCTTCCTCTTTTCCTGATTAGATTTCATTCTTCTTTCTTTCTTTAACTAGGCAAACGCTGATATCAACTGCCTTAATGCTCTTCCATCGCTCTGTTATTAAATTCAAACCCATCTGACAGCAAAAATTGTTGCGTGCGGGTATGGGTTCGTACGAAATGAATGCACAAGTCCGATGAAAAATGACAAAATTTATTATATCACAACAAATATGCTAAAAATTCCTAATATTCGAGCAGTATTACAATACTCACAGTAGTTATCTTAACTACTCAAACGTTCAAAGAACTTAATTCAAAACAGTAAAGAAGCTAATCCGCGAATTCGTGCAGTCAACAAGAGCAGTTTTCTAAACAACAAGAAACTAAGTAAATACTCTACTACGAACTCCAAGTTGCAAGTTACACTTATGCCTAGATTATCAACATTCTGCTTGTGTGTTCTGGCTGTCATCCGATGTTGCTCTTTGGGCGCTGAAAGAGATAGTTCGAAGTGTGAGTCCAGAAGGTCAGGAGCTAATGGCGAGGGGGGT